ACAAGCAGACCCATTTTCACAACTAGGGAGGTAAAAATTATAATAACTATAGAAAATAATTTAAAACTGTACATGTATTTCATACATTTTACATGTTACACAAAGAACATGCATAGTAACCATTGACATACCAGATCCTTGACCAATAACATATATCGTCTCCCCTCGTCCTTCATCCATCCGATCTCCTAGCTGACGTAAAAGGTTGTCATACTGTTCTGCACTGGGGCTTACCAAGACATGCTACAAGTGGGCAAAAAAAATAAATTTATAAATATATAAATAGGTTATCCAGATATGTACAGCTTGAAACAGCAAGTGTATTGAAAAGTGGACTGTAATATTTGTTGTTTATGTTATTCTGAAATTGTGGTATGGCATTAAATTGATTTTGAACAGCCTGCGCTCAGAATCTGGCCAAGGAGATCTGAAAAGTCTGTAAGTGTAATGGAAGTGGTTTAGTATGATTATGACAAAATGCCTATCTCAATAGATCAATTGTAATATATATGCTAATTTGCTCTCTGCTCTTCTTTGCACTCCTTACTCAAAACCTTACTCAGAACCAACCCCCCCCCCCCCCAGATCCGAAGTACGCAGTAGAAATAGGAACCAAGTTGGCACCTCCTCTTCAGACAACACACCCAAGACGAAAGATATAAACATCTATAAACATCTTGGCAGGAAGTTATGCATAAATGGATCTAACCAATGATAAGCTAGAATATATAAACTAAAATACTTTTCTGCAATGCTACGCTCAAATATACACGTTCACCTGTTAAATAAAACCATGAAAAGCAGAAGAATAAAAAGGAGAAGTGTTTTTACACTGACTGATGTTGGCGTGATTTCATTTTATCTCCGAGGGTATACCCTGTATAAATCAGGCCAGGCGGCAGATACCAGTACGGAATCTTTGATCCGATATAAATTTGTGAGCAGGTCCAAAACATAAATTTCTCATTTGAACAAAAAGGAACATTTCTGGTTTCTCTGTACAACAGAAAAAAAAAATAAAAAAATAAAAAAAATCGGTAAAACGAATGGGCTAGATGAGGTCTCAGCTGTTAACTTGAGATGGACCATTTACCAAGAAAGGCCTAGTGCTCGTCAATCCATTGCTGCTGCTAAGCACAAGGAGAATCAGAATCTAACATTTGATTGACCTGTTGATAAATCATTGTTACATTTATGTTCTTGGAAGAATTTTTATATAGTAGCATGCCATGGCAACATGCTCTATACCAGTGGTTCTCAACCTGTGTAACCTTGGGACCCACATTTGTCCTTGGTCATTAAATCGTGACCCAAGTCGCACCACACTGGAACACATGCCATTGCAGTACCACATGTTCTAGTGCAAGTGATCAAACTGTGGGCGGGAGGTGTTTTTGGGGTGCCATTCAAATTAATTGCAACGCGACGCACCTCCTGCACTTTTCCTACCAGAATGAACAGTAGAGGTGTGATCGCGTGGTAGTTTGCGATTCAAACACTGACAGACGCACACACCCCATTTTTTAGGGGTTCAGTGTGCGCTGCTGTGCTGTGGCAGAGCTCCATCCATATGTGCATTGCTTGTACAGCTCCCTTGCACTCCCTGTAGAGGTGCCAGAATATGACATCACTCCGGTTACACGAGGGAGCTGTAAGCAATGCACGTATGGATGGAGCTCCCTTGCATCCAAACCTCCAGCCCACCCCACCTCAAGCTGACACTCGGCGCTGGGCAGCATATTTTGAATGGTTGCACAGCACGAAAACGGACAGTGCTGCGCTATGGGGGAGGCTAAGAAGCCCCTCACCTAGTACAGTGGAAGGCATGTGGCGACCCACTGAAGATAGGGTCGCAACCCACTTTGGGGTCATGACACACCAGTTGAGAACCACAGCTCTATACCATACATTAGTCCTGGTTCACACTCAGCGTTTTGTAGTGCGTTTTCTGCCCTAAAAAACGCTCAAAAAATCTGCCCCCCAAAAAATCCCAATTCATTTCTATGACCCTGTGCACATCTGAGCATTTTGTCACAAGAAGCTGGACGCCCGTCACTGGAAAAAGTACAGGAGCTTTTTTTGGCATATCACAGCTCCTTTTGGCCCCATAGACTATATAGTGACTGAATCAGACGCTTAACATTACAGGAGGACCTGGATAAAATAGGAGAGTGGGCAACTACATGCCAGAATCGTTCAAGAGGCGATTGGACGATTTCCTCAGGGACCGTAATATACAGGGGTACAAGTACTCTTAAGATTGAGAACACACAGGGACCTATACATACCACACATCATTAGGACAGTACACACACATACACAAATAGGTTGGACTTGATGGACATATGTCTTTATTCAACCTCAAATACTATGCAACTATGTCTATAGGAAATGCACAAAAACGGGCGTTTTTTGCACGTTTTACACAGGGGCAAAAGCCATCCCCCAGGTTTCCAAGCATCGTGGGAGACAAAATGGAGGATAACACACTGCATTGCTTCGATGTGGAAAACATCATATCTTTTGTGCGTGGGGAACCGTGCCTGTATGACACCAGAGACCCCCTAAACAAGAACTGGGGTAGAAGATAATGGGTCAATATTGCCAAGAAGTTGCAGCCAGACTGGGAGTCCTTCACTTCCAACACCAAAAGACAACAAAGGTAATGGGACATGTGATGTTTCTGTTCTTCTATCATGCACCTGCTACAAGTATGTTGTGAGGATTTTGCAACATGCTGTGGCTGACATATGTGCCATGGTGTTCTGTTTCTCAACTCCAGCTGTACTGAAACTGCACACCCCATCATGCCACTAAGCATGGCTGGAGCTTTCATGGACTTGCAAGGCATCATGAAACTTGTAGTTCCCCTGCAGCTGGAGAGCTAAAGTTGCTCTATTACAAGTTAGTTGGGAGAATTCTGCAACATGCTGTGGCTGACATTTGTGCTATGTCCTGTGGTGCTCTGCTTCTCAACTCCTGCTGTACTGAAACTGCAAACCCCACCATGCCACTGAGCATGGCTGGAGCCTTTATGGACTTGCAAGGCATCATGGGAGTGTTAGTTCCCCTGCACCTAGAAAACTAAAGTTGGCAACCCCTTGCTTAGTGTGAAGAATCTCTGAAATATTGTCATTTGGAATATGCATGTGCAGAGCTTGCTAGACAGACCATGGAAATATGATTTGGTGGAGAAGTACTACACTCAGACATGTTACAATCTGAGTACCCAACCTCTGTAAAATCAACAATTCAGCTCCTATCAATCGCTAGTTGGACAAACGAAATATGCCATTAACATTAATTCAAAAATACAGGACCTTGCACAACATCCATGTGTGCAAATCTGAACAGACTGGACAATCAAATTGCAATGTGTGGGATGATCTGTTCAAAAAAATTTAAAAAGGACAATAAAAAAAATCTGAAATGAAAAAGGAAAAATGAATAAAGCTTTTCTAGAAAGACACATTACCTTTTTAATAAATCAAAGAAAGTAAACCAGGATCCTTTTATTTTTATTCATCCCAAAAAAATAAAACTCCAAATTTTGCAGCGGAAGCATTAAGCAGATTACATACATTGAATTTATCATATGCAATTATTAGTCCACAGCCCATATACTTCGCGGCTGGGAAGGAGACCTGCCCCGTTGGTGGTCCATGAAGGAGTGGCAGCAGATTTGGCCCAATGTCTCAAAATGCTCTATTAGCGTAGCCTATAAGGTAATGATGAGGTGGTATATGGTCCCAGCCAGGGTGGCATGCCTGTTGCCCACAACCTCAGACAGCACGTTAGAGTCGATTGTGTAATATGAGCGCTTGTGAATGCAGGGTTTCACTGTTACTTGAATATGCTTATGTATCATACATAATTCCAGTACTTGTGAATTCATGATTGTAATGACGTACCAAGGCAATGATACACTGTGAACCGATATCTTTATTAAGTTTGTTATGTGAAAATTTCAATAAACATATTGATACAGAAAAAATGCCTGACGATTTATCCGCTACTAGCTTCCCTACACAGGATTGGCACAGTGGTTTTTTGTAGAAGGATATTTAATGTTGCAGGCTGCACATTGCTTAGGTTTGCCATGCGTGCTGACTGATGAGAGCGTTCTTTCTTCAGAGGCCTTGATTTGCAAAATACAAAACCAGAGCCTCTGTTGAACACACAGATCAGCACCAAAGCCATACAAACAAATGCACCGAGTCACCTCTAATGTAAAAAAAAAAAAAAAACATACATAGGAGGGAAAAAGGATAGGATTGAATACTAGCCTCTTACCTTGGAGCTGCTAGGAGATGGACCCACCAGATCCGACAACCCAGCTGTGACAACCGAGTCTGTGCATGCAGACCCCTGCATCGACTCCAGGTGCAGTGCCCCGCCCCCCTGCTGGTGTGGGGACCACAAGGGTACTGCATCCTGCTTCTTCCCCCATCATGTCCAGGCACCTTGTCTTCCTTCACTGTGGCGTTGCCGAGCGGCTGTGCATCCTCACGGTCTGGCCGAAGGATCGACGGCCCAAAAGCATGTCACATCGTGGCATCACTTCCAGCGGCGTCAAATCCACCAACCTCCATACTGTTAACGGCTAGACACCAGTAAGTGTTCCACATTTGAGGAACTAAAAATTCATGCATGCCATGTCATAGTACTAGTTGTAAGGTATGTTTAGACAGCAGCCGAAGAATTTCAGGATGACCAACCCTGAATTACACTACAAACAAAGTTCCTTTAGAGAAATTACAGAGTGGAATGTGGACAACTCCACCCAGAATGATCACTCTATTGCAAACACATTTCATCAGCAACACTCATCTAGTTAAGTCTGGGCTGGCCACTATCTGTTTATTACATCATGTAAACCAACTTTAAAATGCATGAATGTGTTGCTAGGTAGCATAAAATCAATCAATAAGCACTGTCCACAAGCACTTCCAGCCATTCAATGACAACTCCCAAGCCTACAGTGACAGCACCCCATTAATAATGATTCATTCACTGAAAAGCTGATCTGTAACATCAAAAACAGCAAGAGGCCTCATCGTGACTGTCAATTCAATTCATTCACGAGTAGCATAATGCAAGCTGGAAAACGTCAATTCAGAAAAGTAACACTATCCTATAGGCTTTTAAGTGACATTAAACTTATTTGTGTATCACTCAGCTGCAGATCCTCAATTCATCTCTGAATTCGTGCAGACACTGTCCTTCCTAGTGGAGGGTGGCTACATTTGTTATCCCATGGTTTGTGTCTTTTGAAGTAGCCACTGCTCCAAGCTTACTCATGTTGGACTACAATTTCACGTTTAGTTAGCTAATTTGTATTAAACGTTATAGTCTATCACAGGAGCGAGCTTGGAGTTGTGGCTACTTTACAACACACACAGGGACCTTGAGGAACAAAAGTAGCCACCCTCCAGAAGGAAGGACAATGTCAACATGAAATCAGAGATGATTTGAGGATCTACAGCCAAGTGATACACAATTAAACTACACCATTGTCACTTTAAGTCATCAGCTTTACAACACCAGCACAATGAGTAATTAGGAAAAATAGCAAACATTTAACGGATTAGATTACATTCTGAAAGGTAGATGGCCAATGGAATTGTTTCACTTAGTGAAATGTTTTTCCCTTCCCCCCAATGTTGATGTTAGCACTTACCTTAAATGAAGTTTCTTGATCCGATCTTCCTCTTCTTTCCTGATGTTTTCATCTGTCCAAGCGGTGCGGCGGCTCTCCAATCCAGCACTGACTCCTCTCTGCTTGCAGGCACTTCCGATCCAGTGGTGTCTGATTGCGGGTGCATGTGTCCATCGACTTACCTTGCATCTCTGCTCTTCTCCCACCCAAGAATCCGAACTGCGCATGCGCCCGCCCTAAGATGTTTTGCGGCCGACCGAGCAGTTTCCAATTCTCTGGCGGGAGTGCGCAACGAAAAACAGGGTAAGTTTAAACCACTGTTAAAGCGTTTTTTAATTTTTTTAAAACTTTTTGCCTATATCGACTGCTTACCAGCAGTCGATATAGGCAAAAAAAAAATGGAGGGTTTAGAATCCCTTTAACCACTTCCCGGCCGTAAAAATACGGCCGGCCAGGAGGTCTCTAGATCTAAGCGGGTGTCCGATCGCTTGTATGAGGTCCCGGGATGTGCGCCCCTCCCGCTGTCACACTGGTCCCATGCTCCGCTGTGCCCGGTACTAGCCCAGGACCAGCATACTGCCTTTGTCACAGGGGATCAGAGGGACACGACCTCCCTCAGGTCCCCTCTCCGCTGTCAGAATGCAGAACTGATGTAGATTACATCACTTCCGCATTCTTGCGTCACTCTCCAGCTTCAGATACTGGAGAGAAGCCGATGAAGCAGATCTCTGCTTCATCAGCTTCCTCAGGGGGGTCCTAGGTGACATTAGGGTTCTTGGAGACCCCTGATGTCTCTAAAGAGGACCCGTCACATATTTTGCTGTCACATAAGGGGGTTTTCTTAACTTTATTGCTATCACATAGGGGGCTAAGTGGAGAAAAAAAAATAGGAAAAAATACAAATTTAAAGTTTCCCCTCCAAAAATGTAAAGTTACAAATAAAAAAAAGAATTAAAAATGTATTCTTTTTTTTAAGTCCCCCCCATACATACACGCATGCAAACAGGCGTCGGGTGCGCATACGTGCAAAAACGACGATTTCTCCCATTACGCCGCACATGTTACATATCGTCGCAAATGTCGGAATTAGAGCAATAGTTCTAGAGCTGTCAATCACTGATAACACTAAACTGATGAGCTGTAAAAGCTTTTACCAAAAATATGGGTAATAAATCATTGTTTCCTAATATAATGGGGGGAAAACTTTTTTTCCCCAAATTTTCAATAATTTTTCCTTAATATAGTAAAAAATAAAAACCCCAGTGGTGATTAAATACCCCCAAAATAAAGCTCTATCTGTCCCCAAAAAATGAAAAATGGTATAAAATTAATTTCAGTACAGCGTTGCATGACTGAATAAACGTCAAAGTACCGCTGAGCTGAATACTGAAAAATGGCCTGGCCAGGAAGGGGGTCTAAACACCTGGTCTTGAAGTGGTTAACATTAATCCAGCAATTATCATATGTCCGGCATGACCAGATCTTATTCAGACACACTCTGATGTTGAATTAGTTTACATGGATACAAATCTAGAGAGGTTTCGGAGTTCACATGGGGGTCAATGCATGGCTTTAATTAACCAGTTTGTGAGTTTTCCCACGTTTAGCAGAGTCCATTTAAGGAAATTATTGTGACAATAGTTTGACACATTTTTTCATTTGACATTGGGCCTAAGAACTGGGAACTAGGAACACACAGTTACACATTACACTGTCTCTGCTGAAAGGTTCATTAACTGCAAGGGGTATTTGTCATGTGGACTTAGGAGAACTATGGGGAAAAACACATAGCCCATAGTTCTCCAAGGGTCACGGGAGGACCCAAACTAGCGTCCTCCCGTGACCCAAAGTGACCTGTGTATTTGCTACAGCTCGCGGTATACTGAGAACGCCGCAGCCGGGACGGATCCCGACATTACTGTCAAGATCCACTCAGCTGCGTGATTGACAGCTGGCTCTGCCTATCTAGAGGCAGAGCCAGCTGTACCCGCCCCCTGCCCCTCCGTTCCGCCAGTCAGCGCTGGAGGATCGGAGTGGGGGGAATCCCTGCAGGGAACCATGAGTGACAGTCACGGCTCCCTGCAAGGACATGATCAAGAAGTGAGCAAGCGACGGTATGTGTTCGATCACTTCCCGATCTATTGAGCCGATGTGTGACAGTTTCATTGTCGCACGTCAGCTCGAACTATGAGGTTGAGTGAAAATCACTCGCCTCATTAGTTCTACTTTAATTCTTTACCTACCACAGATGTATGCATTACATCGGTGGCAGCGCCAGCATTTAAACAATCCTAGCTGCTCCAGGAGATTGTTTATAGTTCACTCACAGCTGCCTACTTTATGTACTGCAGGGTGGATTTAAAAAACAAACAAACTGATTTTTAAAAAATAAACTGATTTTTTGGATTTAAATCTGATTTGTTATCAAATTTATTTTCATAAAATGCTTTTGGAGTAAAAATCTATCTAAAGATACTTTTCTATTTAGGATACATTAATAATTTAGTTTATTCAGCATGAAATGGAGCTTAGTTATGTAGCATGAGGCTGTATATTCTGCAATATTTTAATTTTTGGTAAACTCATTCAATGAATCCAAGCTCTGCAATCTGAGATAACATGCACTGCATTGATGCAGTCACAAAATTTTATAGTAAGTAACAATGAGATAAATCATAAAACAAAGTTCAGGAATATTCCTTTATCCCATTGTTTTGCAAATCCACTGGACCTTCTGCCCGCCATGTCCCTCACCTTGTAGTGTCACTGCCACATCACCAGCCGTCCTATTAAAGTGAATGGGACTGTCGGTGAGTCAACAGAGAGTCAGAGGAGGAGCCGCTGCGGGACAGAGATGACAGTTGCTCTTTAAAACTTGCAGAGGCAACATTAGTGGTCTAACAGATCACTGTTATGTGAGCCGCACATTAGGTATCACCATACATGCTGGAGTAGGAGAAGTAACTCAAGGGCGATCGTTTTTTGTTAACCTTAACTTTATGAACTGTAAAAGATATTTTTTTTAAAATTCTAATAAAAAGACAACTATAGAAAATTTAGGGCACTGTAGTTTTTTTAAAACCTCTTTATATTTAAAAAAAAAAAAACTGAGTTAGCAGGGATCTCAAGTCTCCCCGATGTTCCCTCTTTTAGATAGCAGCTCCCTAACGTCCGCGAGAGAGGCATTTTCTCCCTGAAAGGTTCACTCGAGTAAATCTTTTCGGTAAGATATCAGTGGGTAAGGTTTCAGAGTGAGGCTTGCCTCCTGGAGGAAGGCCCTGGTAGAGTGCGCCTTCACATTCTGTGGTGGAGTCAAACCCTGAAGCCTATAGGCTTCCGATATCGCCAGCCTTAGCCATCTGGCTATAGTACCCTTAGATGCCCTCAGGCCCTTTCTTGCGCCCGAAAACAGGAATAGATTATTGGACTTCCTCCAGCTGCTGGTCTTGTCCAGATACTCCAGAATGCATCTCCTGACATCAATGCCCGTCAGTCTCTCTTCCTCCGATGTAACTGGGTTAGGGTGGAAGGAAGGAATAACTACCTCCTGGGTGCGATGAAAGGTTGACGCCACCTTTGGCAAGAACCCAGGATCTGGCTTGAGGATGATTCTGTCTGCATGAATAATGCAATAAGGTTTCGCCATGGAGAACGCATGGATCTCACTCACCCTTCTGGCTGGTACTACCACAATCAGCATTGCCACCTTGACAGT